TTATGATTAAGTCTCATCAATGGAAAAGAAATTTAAGAAAATCCCTGAACAAGTAACCAACAAATCTTAAGAAATTATGCACCTAAAAAAATTAAAGTAGTCCTTGGCCAATCAGAAACAGCCTAAAACTTCTAAGGATTTACTAAAAATACTTGCACTACTCACTACATACCTAAAAAAAGGAATACTCAGTCAAAACTCAATTTGAGAATTTAGCATACAATGATGTTTTATCATAATCTCTAGAGTAGTCCTTAAGTCTACTGCATGGTCCTCCTCAGATCTGAAATAAATTAGAATATCATATCTAAAGATGATCACAAACTGGTTCATATACTTCTTCAAAACCCTATTCATTAAATCCATTTGGGCATTAGTTACTCCATATGACATGACTAAAAACTTATAATACCAATACCTTATACAAAATGTAGTCTTCGCCACATCCCCCTCTCTCACCTTCAGTTGATGATAACCAGATTACAAATCGATCTTACAAAATATTGAATATACAGCCAGCTGATCAAATAAGTCTTCAATCCTATGCTAAGGATATTAATTTTTTATAGTGGCTTTATTTAAGTCCCTATAATCAATGCACATATGCATCGTACCATCCTTTTTTTACAAATAGAAAATATGCTCCCCACAAAGACACACTAGGTTGGATGCAACCCTTGTCAATTGACTCGTGAAGATGAACCTTCAACTCGTGAAGCTCCTTAAGTGACATCCTATACTGAGATATCAAAATTGGGGATGTACCCAAAAATACATCATTATAAAACTTTATATCTTAATATGGAGACAAATTGACTAATTCCTTGGGAAACATATTCAAAGATTCCTACACTATCGGGACATCAGAAAAAGGAGCAATTATTAGGTCCTTTCACTGGATGTAGAGGAAGGTTCGGTTTTAGCCAAAAATAGGTAAAAAGTGCAAATACCGAGTTTTTTGAAAAACTCGGTATTTTTTCAAAAAACTCGGTATTTGCACTTTTTTAGGCAAAACCGAACCTTCCCCTAGGTCCTTGCACCGGACCAAATAAAAACTCCAGAAAAAGAACCAAAAAGTACACTCCACTCCTAGACTGACACTAAAAATATCATGTAACCCATATTTTATAATCTATCTAGTTTTATAGCAGAAATCAAAAAAGAAAAAATAACCTCAAACTCTCTAAAATATGTAGATTTTAGTGCCCAAAAATAAAGTGACTTACTTTTACAAACAATCATTTTAAGCTTCATATTGACTCAACTAGTTCATATTGAAAATAACATCAAATGTAAAAATAGGTAGTAAAATCAAATTGGATTTCCACTTCCTATAAGAAATCTCAATATCATAGAAACATACTCTATTAGCTATCATAATATCTTTGATTAGTAAAGAAATAGATAGAGAAAAGGGCAATAAAATTAAAGGCAAGTCTAGTAAATTTAAGAAATATTCATAAATAAATGAATGATTAACTCTATAATCATATAAAATATGGCATGGTTGAAAAAAAAAATGTAAGCAATACCTAAAACCATATATAGAGTATCTCGAGCCTCTTGTTGGGTTAAATTGTAAACTCGTGGCAATATTAAAGGCAAAGCAACAGAACTCCCTACACCTCATGATCCTCTAGAATGTTGAATTCCTCCTAATGGACCAACACTCATGACACAAAAAACCTTAGAATGTGATCAAGGTGGTATTATCCTTGGCCTAACAATGGATGATTTCCTAGAGCTATTAGCTCTCAAGTCAGAACGTCTATTAAAGACACCTTATAGACACTCAACAATCTTGTGTCTAAACTGACCACAACAAAACCTCCAGAGACATGTCCCATCATTATGCAACTAACAGACTCTGAATCGGAGGTCATTTGATTGGTTTTTGAAGTGTTTGAAAATTTGCTAAAAAAAGCTTTTAGGACTTGGCCTTTTAGTATTGGATTTTGGTTTCAAATTCTAAGATCTGGGTAGATCCTAAGGTTGAGATTCTAGGAGGATCCTAGAGTTTGGATTGGTGATTTAGAGTCAGGAATGGTCCAAGTGACCTCATACAAAAATGAGGTCAACAGTTGTTTCCTAGCAGACAGAGGAACAAATAATGTAACAATCCAAACTCTTAACTATCGAGATAATGTCTTCTTTGGCCTAAGAGCCTCACAATTTTATCTTGTTGGTGTAACATTCTAGTAGGTCACCCATCCCAGAATTTCTCCGGGATGAGCACGCTTAACTGCAGAGTTTTTTATAGAAATTCCAGCTATTACACCAAAAGTTGCCTTTATGTTTAAGGGTTTAGCTTTTATTTATTTTAGGGGTTTCACAATCTCCCTCATTTAAATAATTGATGTCCTCATCAACATCTTTATCTAAGAATCATCCACCATATATATATGATTTTAAATGTGACCCCTATAAGTTTAAGTGGTGGCTCCCATCATGTAATACTTTGTCTTATACATGATTCAAGAGGTGGCTCTCATAATGTAGAACTTTATCTTGTATGGAACTTAGTGACCATTTTTCGGCTTGTGTATTGCTCTGATACCATTTATAGCAGCCAAACTCTTAACTATCGAGATATTATTTGCTTTAGCCAAAGAGCCTCATGATTTTATCCTATTTGTGTAACTTCTCAGTAGATCACCCATCACAGAATTGCTCTAGGATGAGCATGCTTAATTGGGGTGTTTCTTACAAAAATTTTAGTCATTACAACACAAGGTGCCTCGATGTTTAAGAGTTTTGCTTTCATTTACTTAAGGGGTTTCACAAATAATATCCTAAATGTATCTGTAACTCCTCCCAAGTAATCAGGGTATTTGCATGACCTAGAAACTTATCCTTCTATTTTCTCAACCACCAATATTATGCCTCATCATCTAACAAAAATACAGCTAACATAACTCTCCTCTCATAAGGATAATGCATCTCATCCAAAGTTTTCTCTATTTTCATTAGCCAACCCTCAATCTCTTTAAGCTCATTGACACATGATAATCCAATAGACTATAATCTCATGAAATTTTATAAATATCTTTCCATGTCATCAAATTGGTTACTAAAAACCCTTGTATTAGCCATGTCTATCAATTATGTTACCAAACTTTCAATTTGAGAAACTATCTTAGAATTAATCTTAGGAGTTGTAACCTGAACTAAGCTATCTCACAAGAGCTTTAACCATTGGTCATATTTTAATCTGGCTAAGATGGGCCAACCATCTCAAAATATTGAATATAGCTGAATGCAACACATACATATGAAAAATAAAAAAAATGAGCACCCAAAACCATCTAAAAGTATCTCACTTCTATAGATTAAATCATATGGCTTTGTTAAGTATTGCTTCTCCAACCTTGCTCTGATATTAAAAAGCTTGTCACAACCTGACCCGATATTACCCGATATAATACATGTCATATAGTATCCGAATATGGCAAAACTCAAACCTTAAAATCCAATTGGAAAAGTACTAAAATAAAACTTCTAATTTAAACACACATAAAGACACTACTAAATACAAATAAAGAGAAAGAATAATGAATCTCAAAATAAATTTCTATTTATTATCCAAAAATACCTATACGATTTAAGATATGTACAATAGTGTTTGGCAACATACTACATAACAAAATAAAAGCCAAACCAACATAAATCAAAACTAATCAAAATATACATATAGCATTTGTTGAAGCTTGCTATCTAAAACCGCTCACCTAGCTCTTTACCCTTTCCCTAACTTGAAAATAAAAGCAAAAGTAGAAGTGAACTAGCACAACTCAATAGGCCATCATAGCCTAAAATAGAAATAATAATTTAAACCAAAAGAACTAAAAATATTATGCTGTAATAATAAACTGAAGTATTGTACGAAAAGATAAAATTGAAATATATACGGATATTGAATGCATTTAATTAATCAATGAGTTGTACTAAATTGAAATATAAATAAATGTATTATAATAATTTTCAAAATATTCGTCAGGGTTTAGCATCATAGCACATCTCATATTAAAATATTATCTTAGTAGCCCACTGGCTTCGGCATAACATCACATGTTATCTTAAAATCTCACCTGGGTAGCCCACTAGCTCCGACATAACGTCACTGTCATATTAGAATTCCTCCTCGGCAGCTCACCGATTCATGCATAATAGAATCTCACATCAGTAGCCAACTAACACCGGCATAGCATCATATCACATCATATTTCTTTCCTATTTTTAATGCATTTTATTAATTAAATGAGAGTTAGACTAAATTTAGAAATTATTAAAATGCCTCAATGGTAGGCAATAGAAAATCCTATAGAGCAGAAATTCATTTTTTTTTTAAATTAATCAAATTATCAAAGATCATATATAACAATATTTGAGGCATTAATTGAACTAAAGCACTATTTTTAGATGTAAAAATAAAATTTTGAATTCGTAAAAAATTATTTTTTTCAAAATCATTTGGCAAAAATTTTATAATAAATAATTAAAATGTTCATAATCTCAATCTCTATAACATATAAATGTTATGCGATGAAAGTTTTAATTAAAAAAAGTTGTCCTCATTTTTTGATAATAAAAATACAAATTTGATCGAAAAATTCTAAAAATATCAAGTCATTGAGAACTGAAATAGGTAAAACATAATCTACCTCGAGAAGAACAAAATTTTCAACCGAGCCAACGAAAAAAAAATGGCTCAATGTGCGTAAAACCTAGCTTTTCTTCTTCTCTCTGCTCTCATTTCTCTCAGCTTCATTTTTTCTCTTTTTAACGAAATGGCTTATGCTTCATTTGGTTGGGTGATTTTACGACTTGTTCATTTTTAAAATGGTAAAATTAAATTTTATTTTTTGTTTGGTAAAACTTCTTTCCCTTCACACGTTCTCAAAACTGGTGTTTTATGTGGAAACGTGAAAGCTACAACTGAGTGCCTCTTTTATAGCGGTCAATGATCTCCTCTCCTATTTTCTCTATTTTACCCTCGCACGTACACACGACATCGTCTTCTTCTTCGCCACTACAATTTCTCCACATAATGAATAGAGATAAAAAAGTTTGCATCCCATTAACGGCCATTATGCCTTCAACGAGGCTTCAACATCGCATCCCATTCGCACGGACATAAATCACCTACAACAGCTTCCATGGTGTCCTCCTGCCATTGCATAGCGTCTTGATTGAGAATCCCTAGCCGATACTTCCACAAACCGACTGCCATTCGCACGTAAGAGCTCCGATCTCCTTATCTTAGCCACAACTTCAGCCTCTTTCAATGACATTTTTCCCCTTTTATGGAATCTGACAAGTGGAGGAAGGTCGTGTCTGGTGAGTTCACCCCCTAATCTTTGTATTTGTTGTATGCTCATAGCTTCACCTACAATAAGATTGCTCTTGAAAAAAAAAAAAAAATTGGTCAAAAGGTTTATGAAGGTAAACTTGAATTATGAAGGTCAACCTTAGAGTCTAAAGGTTTTCGCTTGAGTAGATCTAAAACTGAATATATGGAATTGTAATTTTAGTAGCAATAGACCTAGTGAGGGGATTGTGACTTTGGCGATCAAGATATTAATAAGAGTACACGTTTTGGATATCTTGGATCTATTGTTCAGAGTGATGGTAAAATAGATGGAGATATTATCAGCAGAATTCAAGTTGTATGGTTGAAGTGGAGGAATGCTTCGAGATTGTTGTGCGATAGAAAATTCCCCCTCAAACTTAAGGGAAAATTCTATAAGAAGGTGGTGAGACCTGCAATGCTCTATGGTGCTGAATGTTGGCCTTTAAAAGAGAAGCATAATACTAAGTTAAGTGTTGCAGAGATGAGGATGCTTAAGTGGATGAGTGGCTTTACCCTTAGAGATAGGATATGAAATGAGCATATACTTGAAAATATTGGAATAGCTCCAGTGGAAGATAAGATTAGAGAGTCTCATTAGATGGTTTGGCCACATTAAACGGAGGCCTTTCGATGACCCTATTAGGAAAGTTGAGGTACGTATTAGATTTGATTTATTTTAAGAAAGGTAGAGATAAACCTAAAAAAACTTGGTTATAAAATATTAGAAATGTTCTTTCTTTATTAGATTTAAATGAGAATTTGACTTTTAACAGGACACAATGGAGAAAAAAGATTCATGTAGTCAACCCCACGTAGTGGGACTAAGGCTTAATGTTGTTGTTATTGTTGTTGTAAGGTTTATGAGATTTACTTGACGCTGGATATTCACTGCAACGAGATTTTCTTAAGCCATATCCAGAGATGAGATATCATATACCAGATTTCTAACGAGGAAGTCGAATTACTGCAGGCCATCCCAAGGTCTTTATTTGGAGGCATTCCTCATTAAGAAGTGTAATAGAACGACATTTGGTGTATGGAAAAAGAAATGGAGAATTCTATGAGATATGCCGAACTATTCTTTCAAAAAACAACAGCTTATTGTAGTGGCTACAATGACATTACATAACTACATAAGAAAACATAACTCAAGGATTGATCCAGAATTCGAGGAATATGATGCCGATGAAAATTTTGTTCATCCGGAGGCACATGAGTTCCAAGTTGAAGAAGAAGTTGAAGCCTTAGGAAGTACGACTTGTTTTGTAGAGTTGCTTGATGGTGAAGGTACGAACGATATGGCTAAAATTAGAGAGACTATTGCAATGCAATTATACAGTTGTAATAGGCAGGACATTTACCTTAAAGTTTTTTATATTTAAATATACTATAAATAATTATTTATAAAGCTAGTATAAATATAACTGTAAATGATTGATGATATACTTATAATATATTCTTATTTTATTTCAGTCCCTAATGAAAATTGAGGTTCATCAAATATGACTTTCTCCGAAGTAAAGCATGAGAGGACAATAGTTTAGTTTTGTTGTTTGGTAGATGTAATTTTCATGTACTTTTACTTGCTTATTTAGATCTCATTATGCCTTTGTACTCCTATCCCTGTGATATGTGGTTGTTGCATTCTATAGTATTTGGTAAACTTAAACATTAATAAGTTTGATTTTTATTGATGCCAATGGTTGATTGTTAACAAGATATCACTGCAGTTATGATTACTAAAATTCTTCTTAGTTACAAGCAGATCAAAATGGAACTCATGATGCAGACTTCTTTTGGAACCATGCATTCTATTTTTTTTTTTATAATTGCAGCTCCATTTTTGCTATTTATTTGGGATTCAGATGTGAAAAAAAAGTAAGAAAAAATTGCAGGAGACATGTAGCATTGCTGTGGTATCTATGTAGAGTGGATTTGTGAATCGTTACAGACGTGTAAACTGATGCTCATGCTGTGGATTTTTTTACATATCCGAATTTTGATGCTAAAGATGTTGTTACTAGGACACTGTTGAGCCGAAGGACACTGGTTTTTGAATGACTACAATGGAGTTGAGAAAGTTATTAGATATGTTCTTGAACTTGAGTCCCCTCAAATTTGTAACTGGTATTATCAATCTTTTAAAGTAGAGATATGTTCTCACGGAGAGTTTCTAGCCAGCTTGAAATTTTCTAGGCTTTTTTAAACAGGATTGTAGCATTGCAAGGTGCGTGTGTAACTATATAACACAATTATTATTATTTGAGCAAAAAGTTGATATAGGCAATTTTATTCGTATGTATTTTAAATTTAGTGAACTTAACAAAATAATATATAGGAGTATAAAAAAATACTCAAATGAGAAAAGTTGGATTCATATTGTTTTGTTTAGTAAGCAACATAGCTAGGTTCTAGCATTAATTTTTTATACTCTTTTTTTTTTAATGAATGTGTGAGGTTATATAGATATGAAATTATATAAATTTAATTTATATTAATCAAGAAGTTGTTTATTTAGGGGTTATGTACATCCTATCATATAGGGCTTTATAAGGAGCCCTTCTTATGATGGACTGATAATTATTGTTATATGTAAACTTTATCAATGGAATGTGATACTCCAAACTATCCCCAAAGTCCAAAATCTAAATAATCTCCAATATATGAATAATCTTTTCAAACTATCCATCTATCTGTGGATGAAAAGTTATAATGAAGTTGCCCATAGAAACAATGCAAGTTCGGACTCTGTTACTGCAGCAAACATTTTGTCCTCAGCTATTAAACTCTCTAATCCATTTCTAGATACCTGGGGTGCTAATCTCCTTAGTGAGTTCCAAAATACTTGGCACCCTCCACCGCTAGGATGGATTAAGATTAATATTGATGCGTCTCTCCTACTTTCAAATAGTGCTGGAATTGGAGGTATCTTTAGATATTACAAAGGAAGATTATTACTTGCCTTTGGGGAAAGAAGAATTCATTGGGATATAGCTCAACTTGAGATGGATGCTGTGATGTCAATTAGAAAGTTCATTCAACCTTGGATGATTGATAGCAAAGGAGTAATATATAATTGTAGGTGATAACCTCAACATTATCAAGTTTATTCAAAATTCTTTGAATAAGGCTAAGTGGCAAAGCTACAACTGGATAGATGAAGATCTTCTATTCTTGGCCGACTTCAATAAGGTAATTTTTCATCATACTCATAGAGATTGTAATAAAGTAGTCAACCTTTGTGCTACTTTGGCTTTAGAGAACAACTTTTGTTTTGATAGTTCTTATTTTGCTAGCATCCATTCTTCTCTTAGTTCTTTGTTGAAGAAGGAATGTGAGCCTTTGCTTTAGCTTGTATCTAATTTTTTGTTCTTAATTGCAATTTTCAAAAAAAAAAAAAAGAAAAAAGACCAACCAAACGAGGCCTTAAACGAATAGAGAATGAACTTAAGTGCTTTTTGATATTTTTAATAATTTTTTTATATAAAATATTCAAATGACGTAACTATAATTATGTAAATTGTTTGAATTAGTTTAAAATCTTTTTATATCTTCAAATATGATAATAAAAAAATTATGAATAAATATTTATATATTAGCAAAACATGTCTAGAATGATTGAGTGAAATCAGTTTGCAAAATAAACACGTAACATTTCCAAAAATCCTAGTTGTTTCTACATATGTCAATTTCTTAGAGAATTGTTCCAATACCCAAAAATCATGAAACATTTATTATAATTCGAGAACAATATGATCTATGTTTTACAAAGACGATTTATAATTTAGACTTCTAATGACTCTCGAAATTTTTTTTAATTGCTATAGATTAAAATTTAAAGGTTATAATAGTAGGTTAGTTGAAATTAGATTTTATGGGTTGACATCATCAAATGGATAATAATTCATTCTAAACGAGTGCTAGGTGAATCTAAAAGCCCTAAGTGGATCATATAGTGGCTATAGAAGTAGTCAGAACTTTGAATATTTTGAACTTCGATGTGCTTCTATAGACAGAAAAAAAAGAGGTAATAATTAATGTATATTTATAGATTTTGACTAGGTTAATTCCTTATCTAAAAGTATCCAAAAATATTTATTGTTCTTAATGAGAAGTAGATTGCATCATCTCCTAATAAAAAAGTGATGAGACAAAGCTTCCTCTAAATGCAATTTGGAACTACTACTATCAAGAAGTTTGTGAAAAGATTCAACCGCTTAGATGTTGACTAGCTAAATGGTGTTTAGGAGTCCTCTCTACCCTATTCATGGATCTAAGAAGATATGGGACCCAAACTCATGAGAAGAGACTATACCAACTCAATTTAGTTTGATTTGATTTAATCATTTAGAGGCTAATTATGAAAAATCACAAGATTTTGGCCTAATTTGATTTATCTCAATGTCATTGAGCTTCATCTTTCAACTATAAATTATTAAAATCAATTTCTAGATGATCTCCAAAATAAGTTTTTCAAATTGATTTTAAGTTTTATCACCTAAATTTTGTATAAAAATTTGTGCTTATTAGATCCTTTTTGCAACCCATATCATTTATCCCCATCTTTTTTAACACTAATGATTGTAAGTCTAAAAATAATCTTAGACTATTAAGGAAATTTCAAGGCTCGACCAATCTCTAGGCATTAACATGAACTTCTCTTGGAGGCTATGAACTAAGATTTTTCCCCTTAAGACTAAGATTACATATGGTTGATTGGGCTAGCCTAGGCAAAACCATGATCCACCTAGGATAAAACCAAGCAATCTGGTGGGATGAACCGACCGAAAAATCATGAGTACTAAATGATTCCTTCTACCCTTCAATAGTATATAAACTACACCCACATTTGTGAAAAAATCTACATCAAAGGCTATAACCTTATAATGAATGAAATTGAAATATATGAAGATGAATATCACATTCAAAGCAAAAATATTAATCCCATTTCTTAACAAAATAATTATCACCAGTGCCCTTCTTTGTCGTTCTCTTACTGCCCACAATCAAATAGGAGACTGAATAGCTAGGCAAGGGCAACCACAAGATCATAAAACAAAGAAAAATGATTTGATAGAGATCTTCTTCCTGCTAATTTCTAGATGATCTCTATCATTTTTCTTACTGCCCACAATATAATACGAGAATAGCTAAAGTTCAAAATTTTAAAAAGAAAACAAATCACACTAACAGCAAACTTTATTTGCCTGGTTATATCTCAACACAGCAACCTTACTTGCCCTGACGCCTTAGTTTGCTACTTGACCGAGCCGTTGAGAATATTGCCACTCTCAAATAGTCCATACCAAGGACGCGTCTTTTCTCCGAATCCTACACGGCTTATAATTATTTATTGCTTTGCCCATTAATGCCATTGCTCCAATGCTTGCAAATTTCTTGCCTTCAAAATTTTCAGATGGTTGAAATGCCACTGATGCAACTGGCCTTAATGCAGTTGGAGATGCTGCTTGACTATGATTACAGCGCCATCTCCTAATCCATGCTTGTAAAGCCTTTTCTGTATCACCTGTAGAAGGGCTATCATTTTCTGAGAATGTCATAGTTCTATCACACTTGTGATCTTCCATTGATCTGTTGTGCATTCTACTACTGCTCATATTCTGCAATTCACTGGAAGAATCAACGCACTTTTTGAACATTTTAGTGCAGAGAGTAAGAGTTTCAGATTGGTTATGCTGGAGACGCTTAACCCATGTGCTGCGTGTTTTTACGAGATTATTGGAGCCCGAGAAATCTACTGTCCTTTCGACACTTGCGCTGGTTGTTCTTTCTGTTGAAGGATGCTGCTCTACTCCATCAGTAGTTCCAGTCTCTATATTTCTGCAAGGAGCTTCGGCTGCCAGCGAAGGCGATGTACAGTTGCATTTTCTCAGATTTGGAGATGCAACACACTGTCAAGTCATGAATGGGAATTATATCGCGTTGATGATTTACAAAAAAACCAAACTCATATCAGAATTTCATTACAAAAGGAATTGAAGAAACTGGTGAACATTTGAACGATCTTTATATGATAAGAGTTGGTTGATCAGGATTACAGACACTTGCACAAGTTCTATACCTGATGCGATGCGGCTAAGTATTCATTTGGTTGCTTGTAGATCAAAAATATGTTATACGAAATTATGATTATAGTTTCACTCATTATATGGGTGATAATGAAACCATCACTTTTGATGGAACTTCATGGTGTTTTTAGATTTTAAAGCCAACATAGATTCCCAACTGCATTCAACAAAATGACAAAATCAATTAATTCTTTATTTTTCAAAACAAATTTTCTAACTCCAAGCACGAATTAGAAATTGGAATGACTGATTAATCGCATATAAATAACAAATAATAAGAAGAACCAAGTCAATATGTTGGCATTGGTCAAAGGAGGCTATTATTGGCATAGTATGCAAAAAAAAAAAAAAAAAAAAAAAAAAAAAAAAAAAAAATCACCAATCGCCTAAACAACAGTACATATAGCAAATAATTGTTGAACTAATCAGGCATTTCTTGAAGTCAATTTTGAAAGCATTTCCTATAGGTGTACCTGTATTTTATCATTGTTGCATGTCAGGACATTCGTGCTGTTAGAGAGAGAGAGTTTGTTGTCTTAGCATTTGAACGAAGATCTATCATACACATAGATAAGATAGGAATATAAGAATTATAAAAGATGCCTGAATTTTGGCATGAACAACATAGGAAAGAAAAAAATTATGGGGGCTGGCCTAGTTAAAATAATTCTATTATCGTTTATCATTGGTTACAAATATGGATAACTCTTCATTCCGTGTTTTTCACTAACGGAAACAGAAATTTGACAAAAAATTAGATAAAAACTTTATATTTGAAAATTGAGATAGACGTAACGTGACCTACACCAAGATGAATAAGTTTCCCAACTGAGTAGATGGACGAAAACAGCTTAAAGTCGTCCAAAATTGGATTTCTATTTTCTTTGGTCATCTGTTAGCCGAATGGAGGAATAAAATGGCATTAAGAAAATGCTTTAGAGTGGAAATAGTTTTTTTTTTTATAATAAGATTTTATTTTCTAATTATTACATTTTTTAACATAAAACTTACCTAAATTCTTATGTCTTCCAATCTGGAATTAAAAAATTACGGAAAAATATTTATAAATTATCTAAGCAAGTCTGGAACATTCTCGTGAAATCGGTTAACAAAATGGATGCTTAATGGTCCCAAAATTCTCATAAGTGCCAATTTCTTACGAAATTTCGTTAGTGCTAAAAAATTATGAAAAAATTAGGGTACTATATATGTTATGGTGAAGATGGATTGTGATTTGGACCTATAATAACTCAAACGAGAATGAGTTAAAATAAACATGGATACAACTGTCTCATCTCATATTCCTTCTCCCAAGTAGCCTCTCTGGTTGTCATGTTCTTCCACTGCACCTTGACTATCAGAATATGTTTTTTCTTTAATTTTCTCACATCATATGTTAGAATCCTATCTGATTATTCCCTATAGTGTAGATTCGAATAAACATCAACATCTTCAGCAGATAATCTCTTTCCAGAATTAGATACCCACTTTCTCAAAGAAGATACATATGATACATTATGTATATCGGATATATTATCAGATAACAATAACCTGTAAACAAAACTACCAATCCTCTCAATGATATCAAAATGTCTAATATATCTTAGAATGAGCTTGCTGATTTTCTCAAATCTACTAACACCTTTCATATGGCTGATTTTAACATAAACAAAGTCGTCAATCTGAAACCCAATCAACCTGTGTTTCTAATCGTGATACTTCTTCTGCCTATCCAGTGCAAATTTCAATCTTTTTATGATCAAATGAATCTTTGTTATAGTGTCATCCACAAAGGGTGGCCCTATCACCTATCTATCTCTCACCTCTATCAAAGTCAAAGGAGTTCTACACTTTCTATTATACAGAACTTCATAAAGAGTCATACCTATGATGTACTGATAACTATTATTATATGCAAACTCTATCAGAGAGATATGATCCTTCAAACTATCCCCAAAATCGGCATGATCATGGGTTGGTTCATTTGGTTGAATGATAGTGCCACAGGAGAATATGAGCAAGAAAACACAAGTGGAAAGGCAATTGAGTATACGGACTTGAGAGCACCCAACCCGGCATGATCATGGGTTGTTGACATCATAGTAACATATGAAATAAAATTACATTACGTCCAAAACATAAGAAAATAAAAAAAATAAAAAAAAAAACAAATCTTGACCGCATCAACTATAGTAGGGTGATGGAGGTCAAAGAAATGCAATAATGATTGGAGGACTATAGTCAGACGACGGTAGTCGGGGAATCATAGTTGGGCAAAAATGGTCAAAAGATCATAGTTTGAAACCTAAGGTAGATGGACATTAGTTGTGCGATTGCATTCAAAGAACCATAGTTGGGTGATGGTGGTTGCAGAAGCATAATTGGGATATATGGAGTTTGAAGGATCAGAATTGGGCTCCAATTGTTGGAGGACCATCATCGAGTGATGAAGATAGAAGGTCCGTAGTTGGGCAAGGGTGACTAGAGGGTCATAGTTGGACAATGATGGTAAAAGGCCGAAGGTCCGATGGTGTTGGTTGGGCGGCAATGGTTTGACGATGGTGGTCAAGCAACAAAGGTCCGATGGCGGAGATCGAGTGACAACCAGATGATGGTGGTGCTCCAGTGCAGCTCCAAAACTTTTCAGGCCTTTGAGCTCTCTTGAATCTCTAGAAAAATGTCTTAACTCTTGACTCTCTTTCACATAGAGTGGAGCCTAATCATAAATTTTGGAGCCTAATCATAAATTTTGGAGAATAACATAATAAAAATGGTGGGAATCTTGAGCACTCCATCGAACAACCTGTATTCATTCTGTTGATCATAGAGTGAATGATCATTATTTAAGTGTCTTAATGTTTTCAGAATCATGTCATGATTATGGTGTAGAATGTTGGCCATTAAAAGAGAAGTATAATACTAAGTTAAGTGTTGCAGAGATTAGGATGCTCAGGTAGATGAGTGGATTTACCCTTAGAGACATGATAAGAAATGAGCATATACCTGAAAAGGTTGGAGTAGTTACAGTGGAAGATAAAATTAGAGAGATTCTCATTCAATGGTTTGGTCACATAAAACGACGGCCTTCTAATGACCCGATTAGGAAAGTAGAGGTATTAAATTTGACTTAAATTAATAAAGGTAGAGGTAGACCTAAAAAGACTTAGTTAGAAAATATTAAAAAAGATATTCTTTATTAGATTTAACAGAGAATTTGACTTTTAACAGGACACAATGAAGAAAAAGGATTCATGTAGGCGACCCACGTAGTGGGAGAAAGGCTTGATGTTGTTGTTGTTGTAATGTTTTTAGAATAAAGCAATGTTGGGCTCGTTGGATTCTTCTCGTCGAGATGATCGATTTGACAATAAACATGAAAGATTTGGAAATCTTCTCATCATCCAATGAAAATCTTGAAGCTTTCAATTACACTTCAAGTGCTTGATTTGGGCTCATCCGGATTTGGATTAGATTACTTATGATATCATTGGGTTCATCTCGTTTGCCTATAAGTTTGCTCAAATTGGAGTTTGGATGGCCCTAAATATAATTTTAAAAGTTGTTAATTCAAATATGCATCATAGTTCATGTATGATATAGCCAATTTTCAATGATGTATCAATCATTATATTTGCTCAAAATGTTATCAGAATAATTCAGCATACATGAGCTAACTCTACGTAATTTTCCATTGAAGTATCTCGCATGCATGCCTTCAAAAAATTAAAATTTCCATATAACAGAACAACATTGAATTTCGCTTCAAGCAAGCAATGCAACGTACTTCAACATAAAATACTTCTGAAAAGGCATAGCGCATTATGCAAATTGATTTGCCGCTTTATAGTTGAATTCTATATATTTAATGAGGCTTACGAGATAATGAAACAAAAACAAAGAATTTGAATGCACCGCCTATAAATCAAGTTTAACCAAAAAAACTAAGCAGTTAAACATTTGAAATTACAAATAACATTCACGACCTGTAGTTTACAGAAAATGCATACCGTTGGTGGTCTGGAAAATGGTTTTCCTGCAAAACAAATAGTATGCTATTAGGAAGCAAGAATTCTTAAGAAAATGAATAATTAGCCAAAAATATTCCCTTAGTTAAACTGACCAAACTAGTCTGTTCCTCAAGTTTTAAGAATATTAATTATGCACACACTTTCTGAGCCTAAAATAGGAAGGATCTTCATGAGCCAGTTTCGAAAAACTTGAGGAATGTATAGTCAGGTTCAAAAAATCAATACAGAAAGCAAATTGGCTTTGGAAAAATATACCTAGTAGAGAACTTGATCTATGAGGACTATGGTACACTGAACCAGCCTTAGTAAACGACTCCTTATCTTCCCCCATGAAGTGAGTGCCAATGCCACCAGGGCCTCTCCTACCCTCAACACTTGTGACATTTACAAAGGGAACTATAGTAATCTCTTTCTGGCCGTAATTTTGGTTGGTTGGTGTGATAAATTTTTCGGAAAGAGCATTATCATTAATATGAGTCAATCCAGAGTCTCCCATCATCAGTTCTCTATGGCAGTGGTCCAAGCCCATCTCATCTACAACCAACAAAGAATTTATTGGACTAGATAATCTGTGAAATCCTTCTCCACTTCCTACAGACTTCAATGTTCGGCAAGATCTAGGTTGACTCACATCTTGCATTTGGCACTTGGGTATCTTACTAGGCCAAAGGTGCGTATCGGAATCATCTGGCTGGCTAAGTCTTTTCTGGCCAACCAACCACCTGTGCGATGACTCATCTTTTATACTATTTTCTTGTTCTTCAGTTGAAGAATGACATGGAAAGTCATTTGGATTGGACTCACTGAACACAAGGGTGGATCCATCCTTCGAACTCTTCCACAGAATTCCAAAACTTGTAGGCATTGAGTCAATGTTGTTTTTACTTACTGCTGTTATGAATTTGTTATTAGAGAAACAACACCATAACTTGCGCTTCATCCAACTCAGATTTGTGTTTTCTGGAACTTTGTAAGCATAATTAGGCTGAAAACCCTCGCAAGGCCTCATTGCATTTTCAGTGTTATCAATCATATTATTGGCTGCATGCCAACTGCCAGGTGTTAATTCTACGAAACTTGAAGTAGCTGTTGATTCACACACTGGTAACTTTACCTTCTTCATTTTAACAAACATGGAGCCACAAGTAGATTTTTTCCTGGAAGCCATTATAGTCTCCATTTTCTTGTTGATCTCAAACATAGGAAAATGTTCAAAATCTGACACATTAGCATCTATATTCTGGAATTGATATGAAGCCGAAGCTTTCCATTTTAAAGAAGATTCAGCTAAACTCTCGGCAGATACTCTTTCGAAAAAAGTAATTTCATCATCAAATAGCTCCAAATCCCTTCTGGTTGAAGATTTATCTGTAATTCTAAAATTTTTCCATCCACCTTCAATGGTTTCGTCAGATTGGAGAAAATGTGATACTAGATCCACATTCTCAGCAGTCGAGCTTAATTTACCCACGTATCCGCCACTATATCTTTGATTCATGTCAAAACTTAGAAGTTTGACTTCTTTAATTTTCACTCTCTCAACTGCTAAAAAGTCATGTTCTTTAAATTGATCAACTACGTTTCCTACAAGAGCTGCATTATGATTTTCCCAACCTTTAGAGGATGAGCTTCTGCATGCTTGAATCCAACGAGCCATCCCTTTTCCCATGTAAGGATGTGAAGAAGCATTAGCATTTGTATCACTAAAAGCAACCCCCAAACCTTCACCTTGTTCATTTGTTTGTGCAGCATGGTCTGACATCATAAACGTATCAAGTCTCTTCTCTTCAATATCAGCCTTCACAAGGTGAAAACCAGATATCATACTTAGATAAGGCATCTCTTTCTTCAGAAGACATTCATAGCACAACAGCAATCACACAACAGTCAAGTAATCATTAAGATTTCATTTAAGGAATCCCTACAAACAATGTTTGAGAGGAGAAAGGAAAACAAGTGAAAAAAAAAAGGGAAATGAAAAGGTTCTTCTAGCTTCTAAGTTCTAAATCACCAGAAATATGAAGATGTCAGATTTTAAAATGCCTTAGTAGCTTTTAACTTATATTGAGAATCAACAATTGAATGTATTGAAATTCATCATAAGGAGCTTGAAATATAATACTAAGAGAATAACAAAAGGAGGAATCACAAGGAAATCCCATGATGTAAATTATTTTTGTGTTAAAATAGACAACATTGTTCAAATTGGTATTGAATTTCCTTTGGTTTCAATTTTTTTCACAAATAAGAATAATTGAATAATTGTTATTAAACCTCTGTGAATAGTTTCCATTATCATTTAATTATTTTATTTCTCCTCACCTTTTTCCCATAAACTCGTACGCCTATTAAGACAAGCCGACATTGAACTTCTCATTACAGAAGTTGCACAACGCTAGCCTAATGGCAGGATCCCTTGCAACAAATTGGACGACACATATCATTTTTTATCGAATTAAAGAAAAGAAAAAGGTTGGCAGACCAAACAGTTGATAATAGAACGAAAAACAAAAACAAGAGATGCACTGGTCTCATTCCTAATCAAAGGAGTTAAAAATAAGGAGAGATTAGGAATAAAAATAAAATGGCACAATGTTACACAACGCATAATTTTTTGACCAAATATATCATCTGAAGATGACGAAAGGAACCTGTTGAATGAACATTTTCCAACCAAAAAAGGCACAATAGAAGCAACTAGAAAATATCTCAACCAGTGTTTGTCAACATCCCATGAGCAACAACAGATAAAGGATAATAAAATATCCACATAGCAGTTAGACAATTCAAAATGTCAAGCAGAGCCTTAAAAGAAATCGATTAAGAAAAAGGTAAAATAGTTTGCAATGTCAAGCCCAATAAAAGAGTTGGGAAAAGGATAATAATGGTGATGATGATGTTAATATTGGGCTGATTGAAGAATGCATAAGAACAGAGAGAGGCACACAAAAAAATAAATTGATATTTTGATAAGAATAAAATGCAATAAATATAAGAAATTCATGGATATGACAATACAAAAACCAGCTGGAGAATCGTGAAAACATAAAAAAGTCATGCAAGGGTTCAGCAAAAGGCAAAAAAAAAAAAGACAATAAACAATAGATTTACCTTGTGTTAATTAGACCATGAAATAATTTCTCCACATGAAGCTACTCCATGCTTATGCACATTTCACGTATAGAGGCACAGCTATAGATCTTCATCCCTACTAAATCAGTACACTCTTAGATGAAGACTCCACGAGATCCAGAGCACAGAGGAAGCAGATCAAAGTTACAAACACTAAACACAACCATTAGGCAACAAACCAAAAAGCTCAACTCAAATCAGCGTAAAATGAATCTCAGCTCCAAGTGTAAGAACATAAAGTCTCAAAGCTTTAAAAGGAACAACTTGAAAGCACTGGCTTTAAATTACCTTAGACATGGAAGAGAAAGAGATGAAGCTCGAAAGCCAGCTCTACCTGCGATGGCGACTAAAGCAGGATAACCGACATCATCTCGTACGTGAAGGCGCGCAAAAGGTCCACGATTTCTCTCAGAGGCCAAGAGATTCACATCCTCAAGCAAATCATAAAAAGGATACTTACGAGGGCATGAGCAAAAGCAAAAGCCTTGCCCACGCTACGAGTTCTGAGCCACGCATTTCGAAGCTAGTGACAAAAATTTTATTTAGAATAACATTGTACGGCCGTACTCACATAAAAAAATAATATATGAATATGCTTAAATGATATAAAATATAGTTGTTGGATCCTCTAAAATATAGAAATATAAAATTTAACTTCTTAATTTTGTACGAATATTCAACACATAATCAAACAAAAAGAGGGGGTGGAGTATTTATAAGAGCAATCAAAATTTTTACATTAAAAAACTGAAAATGGGAAAAACCATTGGGTCTACCCTAATTTGAATAAATCACTAGTATTTAAAATTGATTATAAATGAGGCCCTTCATTGGAGGGAAGACATTGACTTGATGTAACAAATATACATCATATAGAATACATTACATGATGGAAATTAGAAGAATTATTATTGATATGTTCGTTTGGTTAGCAAGACCATAGTTGGTGGGCGACGAATGTCAGAAAGATCGAATTTGGGTGACGGTGATCAGAAAGATTGTAATCGGTAGGTGACAGAGGTCAGAATGATAGTTATTTGGTGAAAAAAGTCAGAAGGATTGTAGTCGACGGGGGACAAAGGTTGGAAGGATCATTGTTTAGCAGTGGAGGTCGGAAGGACCGTAGTCGGCAGGTGATGGAGGTCGGAAAGACAGTTGTTTGACGATGGAGATCAGAAGGACTATAATCTAACGATGGATGTCAAAAGGATTGTAGTCAGTAGATGATAGTGGTTAGAAAAGACCATTGTCTGGTGTCGAAGTTCGGAAACCATAATCTGGCGACTGAGGTCGGAAGGACCATAGTCAGCTGGCAATCGTGGTTACAAAGGTAGTTGTCTGATAACGAATGTTGGAAGGACCATAGTCTGGCGACGAATGTTGGAAGGACCATAGTTTGGCGATGAAGGTCAGAGTGACTATAGTCAACAAGCGATAGTAGTTAGAAAGATCATTATCTAGATATGGAAGTTGGAAGGACCATAATCTCCCGATGGAGGCCGGAAGGACTGTAGTAAGCAAGAGACAGTGGTTGGAAAGACCGTAGTCTGGCGACGCAGGTCGGAAGGACCATAATATGGCGACGAAGGTCAGAAGGACCGTAGTCAGCAAGCGATAGTGGTTAGAAAGACTGTTGTCTGTCGACGGAGGTTGGAGTGACTATAATCTAGTGACGGAGGTCAGAAGGACCATTATTAATGGGTAATAGATGCTGAAAGACTATTGTATGACAATAGAGATCAGAAGGACCATAGTCTAGGAGAGATAGTGTTCATAAATACCATTATTGGGTGACGGAGGTCGAAAGAACCGTAGTCTAGCTACGAAGGTCAGAAGGACAATAGTCGACATTTGAGTGGAAGTCCGACATCTGTCAGTGGATGGGCAGAAGTTTAGCATCAGTTAGTGGTTGCGTGCAATTCCGGTGTCAGTCGGTGGCCGAGTAAGTACTACAATAGTTCAACGATGGTCGTTGCTCCGACGGTGGTCGAGGAGTCGAGTGGCAAGAGAACTCTAGTTTCTCTTTCTTCATTATTTTCCTTGCTTTCTCCTCTCCTCCTTGATTCCGTCTCTTCGCCTCCACCATAAGAAATGAGAGGTCTATTTATAGTTTTTTTATAGTGACATGGCTAGTAAATAGGAGGGAGATCAATGGTAGGTTGAGAGTGGTTTAAATGGAAAGCCGATATTGATCCCCTTGATCATAAATCATTTACTAGATATTTGAATGTCTTAATGATATCAAAATTTGATGAACTTGGGCTCATTAGATTTGTCTTGTCGAGCCTCTTGAATCGACTATAAGCATGTCATGTTTGGAATTTGTTTGGTTATACAATTTATGGTTTGAACCTTACAAGTGTGCTTCATGTCTTCGATTTTAACCCATTTGGACTCAGATTGAGTCAAATTTGGTGTCGTTGGGTTAATCTTTTTGAGATGTTCCATTCGACTACAAGTTTGTTAAAATCAGAAATCATATGATTCTGAATTTAATTTTGGAAGTTTCCAACTCTATTTTGGTTCATGATTCATGCCTGATTAAGATAAATTTTTGATGATATATCATTTGTCTCATATTTTCGGACGTTAAAGTTCCATAAATTTGAAAATAAGTGTTATAGTTTTTTGAAAATTTTTATGCAATTTGAAACTAAAAATAATATGATCTTGGATGTAGAGGTCCCAATTGGCTTTACAAGTGTTAAAATTAAGTCCATAACGTCGAAAAATGGTTCTAGGGACCATAAAAATGACCGATTTGAATTGACCAGGCCAAAAATTGAACTTAGATGCTTATGGGAGGTCTCAACCCCTGAGTCAGAGACATCGATGAGCATGCCATGTGCGCGGTTATGTGTTATGTACAATACCCTTTTAATAATTTATTTATTTATTTTGCATGGGGCCCACTATAAGAGGGATAATTTTTTTCTCGTGGGGATCGCCACTTTTTTTTTTGGGAGAGCAATAAATTGTTTTTTTTATAGTGAGTTTTTTCTCCTTTTTTAAAGAATATTCCTCTAAATATTCTTAGAATATATGAATATATTTATTCTTAGAATATTCTTTGAATCTTTTTGGAATATTCATATTCATGCATAATATTCCTCCCTCCTTTTCTCTTATAAATAGCCACCTAGGATAGGTGGAAATTTCCCTCTTCTCCTTCTTCCTTTAACTTTCTTATAGTTGAAACCTTCTACTTTCTTGAATAGGTGGTATCTTCTATTAAGTACAAAGGCCCCTCTCTAGTGTTGAAGTTCAAGTTTTTACCCTTCATTTATTTCTTCCTTATTTTTCTTCTTATTTTAGAGGCTTTCCATTATTTTTGATAGGTTACATGCCCCTCTTTAGTGTAGAAGAAACTTTCACATCTTTCTATTTTCTTCTCCTCTAATTTTCATCTTATATTAGATACATTCCACTATTTGAGATAGATGTCATCCCCTATTAAGCTTCAGTGCTACTCTCTTGTTTAGAAGAAGTCACGATGAGATTTTTTCCTCTCGATAGGCAACTCTGACAGAAGAATATCAACAACCTCTTACATGCAAGAGTGATTTGAGAAAATATGGTGGTAATTATACCCAAGAAGAGAACTAGTGATTGCCAGTAAACGGATATAATTTATTAATGATATTTAAGCGGAAGTTTAGCAAATATCAATGATTGGGTTGAAATTTGATGTAGATCAATGGTCTGGTGGAGAGCTGAAGGAGATACGTGGAGGTTGTGCCACTAATTGTAGTCAAGTGAGAAGCCAATGATGGTTGATATAAGGTAAAGTGCCGACAACAGACATCAGAAAAAAGACTGATGATGGCGAGTGTCAAGTAGCATTCTGCTAAAGATAATAAGTATCTATTCCGATATGTGCAGACATTAGACATCCCTTTCTTTGAAGAAAAAGTTATATGGGATGCTTGTATGGATGATGCTGGTGTAACTTTAATTTTAGCTTCTTACAAAAATGAATGTATACTTGAACCTGATGTAAAATTTATGTAACATTTTACACCATATATATATATATATATCAAATTCAATCAATTAAATATAGAATCCAGTTCAAATCAAGAATTCTAGACTAGAATTTAAAGTTAAAGGCCTATATCCTATAACCCCTTTTGCATAATTTTTTGATCTCCTCAAATTCCAATCAAATGACCTCTAATTCATGATCTATCTATTGTATATTGATTAGGCATATTCCTAAGGTCAACCCTCCAAAATACCCCTTAAGGGCAAGATTGAAGTTCCCTCTAAACTTCAGCAAGACCCAACCAAATCAAACAATAAAACCTCTTTCAATACATCATAAACATTATTATGTATGCATTGAACCCAAATTTAGGCTTTGGTTTGACTAGGTTGACCAAGTCAACCATTATTGACCTAAATGCCCCTTATGGGTCCAAATGGTCATTTCAACTCAAATGGCCATTCCATTGCATGAGACCACCTCCATTAGTCTCAAATAACTCATTTGAACATATTGTTTCATCTTCAGCTCCTAATTTGATCTATTTGGCTAATTCAATAATGGTTGACTAGATCAATCATGAACCATAACCCTTTACATCTAGTGCACTGCCCAGCTCAGTGCATTGGCACTCATAACTTCAATCATGTACAAACCACTTCATTAGGAACCTTAGGCGATAAATCATCCTTCAACAAGTTCTTCAATCTTCAATTGACTCATCTTAGTCAATTTAGCTAGCTTTGGCTAGCTCAATTGATTATGAGCCTCCATCCAAGCTTAATCAAACTTCAAATCCATTTTGAACTTCACTAAAACCTCCTAGTCAATCCCCCTAGTGAAATGGACATGAATGGACACTTTGACCCAATCAACAATTGACTTGGTCAACTGGACTCATTATTGGTCAAAGTTGATCCATATGGGTTAACTCAATACATTCAATCAAATCAACTTATTCAAACTTCATCAAACCCTCAAATCCACTTCCTTATATGGTTTATAAACATGTAAATCCTTCCATGAATCATGAATTTTCATTGAATCAATTTTGAGTTTAATAACTTCTTCATCATAGGGTTTAAGAATAATGTAGACATAAGGTGTACACGATCACAGTCGTTTATCTCTTAATGACGGTTGAAATCTTGTCTTTTTGAGTTAAATTTGACATTGTTGTTCTTCTGGTAACTTGGATGATTATCCAATGTCATCTCAACCATTCATCCCAAACTTCACATGATTAAATAATTGTTGCAGCATGCAACTGTGTTAAGTGGAAATCACGTACAACAGCCGCTACCACACCTTAAATACAAATGATTACGTGGAGGCACAATTATTGGCATTAAATGCTACTGCCATGCATTTTTTATCCGGTGAATGAGGAGATGCCCCGTGGCTTGCTACTTCCTTTATTAGTCTAATTTAATAAACTTTATTTTAAAATATATTTTTTAAATATAGAAAAC